CTTAAAGGTGTTTTTTTTTGTCGATCACATAACGGTTAACTAAATGTTATTCTCTAAAGGACCGGAACGGATGTCTTATTTTCTAAAGTTTAATAAAACATGGCATACCTTCGTATTGGCCTTGGCGTTGGCCCCGCTGAGTCAAACCTTTGAGCGGTTCCTCTTCCTCTAGCTCCACTTGTCTTCATTTTATACGGAACGAAGATTCACGCAAAAAAACTACGATCCGGAAACCTGACCCGTTTTCATTGAATCAAAAAATAAACAAACAGTGGGTGACAGTTCGCTCTTTAGTGCGTGTGCGAGAGAGCTGAGAGAGGCAAATTAATTTACTCTCTTGGTAGTCAGGCATCAATTAAATGTATGGGGAAGAAATGTTTTAATTAATTCTACATTAAATGTGGCATTATTAAAAAATAAAAAATGTTCTAGCAGGTGCACATTTATTTTCTCTATGCACACGAACATTGCAATCATTGATAACTTTTTATGTTTATTAAAAATAATTAGTTTTATCTTTTCTCCCATACTGATTTAAAATGATGACTACCAAGGAGACTGCGCCATCTCTTAGAAAAATTTGTATTTCCATCAGTTAATTGTTGGTCTACAATATATTGAATTTGTTCCGCTTTTTGTTCAGGATTTTTGCAAGCTTCAGAATTCCAGTTTTTTGAATTTATGTTTTGGAGTCATTATTACATAAATATTTGTTATGCGAGCTGTTACAGAGATACCTTTGTCCAAAATTCTCTAATTGTTTCGATCCTTCATATTTCTAAGACTTCGAGTTTTAAAATTTTTATTTCTAAATTATATTTTTATTGCATGATTTCTCAATCAATTTCCATATGGGATCTTCAACTTCGCGTAATTTTAAGTAAAATTATTACAATCAAACAACAAATTCGCCAAAAAATGGGTTGTAGATTTTTTTGTACAATAAGGCCAGGCCATTACAAAAAAGTAGAAGGGTCTGTGCCTAGGGGCACGAACGGAAGCTTGACGTAGGACCGCTAGTGGACGGAATTAATGTGAAGAGCATTAAGTTCTTTTAATTGATCAATTATCGATTATCTCAACTGTTTCCGTTTTTGAATTGTAGGCGTACCAAATTTGTAGTAATCTTTTTCAAAGAGAAAGTTGATTAAGAGAATCAATCAAAACACTTGCACCCCTGCCTCCAAGTTTGGTTACAAGATTACAACTCTGGAGAGCATTTTGTCTGGTCGTTGGGGGTTTGTGGTTCTGAATATGGACAAATAAGCACAGATAAATTCTATTCGAACTCTTTACTGATGTAAGCTTGATGGCCCTGAAAAGGACCGTTTTATTGAAGAGGACATCCATGGCCACTTAAGCTTGGCGTGTTTAGAGTAGGTGACAGCGTCACGGACCTCATTTTCCAGGAACACCTTCAGCACACTTCGTAGATCAGACCGGAGATACGTTTGACACCACCACGGCGAGCCAGACGACCGATTGCGGTTATCTCGAAGAACTTTGCGATGACGCTTGGCGCCTCCTTTACCAGACCTTTTCCTCCTTTGCCACGACCAGTCAATTGTTGCTTGTTATGTGTGAAGAAGTGGACTAGCCACCACCTTCCTACTGCTGCTATTGCTGTTCACCACGCCGTCCGAAGCGAAAATGAGCTAATGCCTTTTACTTAAAAAACTTACTTAAAATGATCTTTATTTCTTGTGTTTGTGTGGTTTACATGTATGAATTTTTTAAGTGACACAGATGCGTCTTTTCAACTTTAGTTCATTTCAGATATTAATTATTATTTACAGTTACTAGTCCTATCAGGCCTATTTTAAAGTATGACTACCTTGGTGGGATTGGTTTGATTTGAATTGGAAAAAAGGAGACTACTTATAACTACTATTTACAACTACAACTAACCTACAACTACTATATACACCTAACCTACTATATACAAATTGCTTATCAAAGCATGTTCTGATAAATTACATTTTTCTGCAAATTTAGTCTTAATTTCGGTTAGGTTACTTCGGCGGACCACTCAACCCTTGTGCCATCCATGATTACAGTACAAGATGGAGCCGGTTTCAGTTTGGGCGATTGCCGATGGAGGAACATGATCGCTTGTGTTTTGGAGGCATTGATTTTGATTTTCCACGTGGTGGAATAATCAGCAAAGGCGTGTTGAAGTTTGTTCGTTATTTCGCGAGGCATCCTTCCTTTGACGGCTATTGCGGTATCATCTGCGAACAGGAAAAAAACGCAACCATCTCCAAGGGGAGGAATGTCGGAAGTGTAAATGCTGTAAAGCAAGGGGCCCAGCAGACTGCCTTGCGGGACTCCTGCTGGGATGGAAAACGTGTCGGAAAGACAACCATTCAACGATACCTTAAACGACCTTTGCTGGAGGTAGTTACGGGTGATTTTAACCAGATGTAATGGAAAGTTGAAGTTACAGAGCTTGTATACAAGCCCATTGTGCCAGACATTATCAAACGCTTTCTTAACGTCTAACAAGGCCATGGCTGTGGACTTGGATACAGCTTTGTTACTTCGGATGTTATTCATCACCCGCACTAGCTGGTGATTGGTGGAGTGCCCCTTTCTGAACCCAAACTGTTCCGGAAGGAGAATGTTGTTTTCCTCGACAAACTTGAGCAAACGATTGAGAATGAGTTTCTCGAACAATTTGCTCAGCGCTGAAAGGAGGCTGATTGGTCTGTAGCTTGAAGGCAATGTTGGATCCTTACCGGGCTTGCGGATTGGTATGATTTTTGCTACTTTCCAGATGCTTGGAAAGTAGTGCAGTTCCAAGCATCTGTTGAAGATAGTGGTTAGAAGAGACTGCACTTTCATGCTGAGTCTCTTCAAGATCAAGTTGAATATACCGTCAAACCCGGGAGCTTTCATGTTCTTGGTGCATTTCAGCGCTGAGCAAATCTGTTGTACTGAAATCATATCCGCCGGAGGCACGGCACAAGGGGAGGCATCTAGGTTTTGAACGCATAGCGCAACCTGATCTTCGAGCGGACTTTGGATAGTCGAGCCAAGCAAATGCGATGAAGCGACATGCTTGCCGATCGCATTTGCTTTCTCCTGTGAGGTGATTAAAAGCCGATCGTCATCATTTTCGACTTTGAGAGGTGGAATGGGTTTGGGATGAGTTTTCAGGACCTTGGCTACCTTCCAGAATGGTCTGGAGCGGTCGTCCAGATTCTGGACAACACGCCCAAAACTTTCATTTCGGAGTGAGTCCATTCTGGAAGCAATCTGCCTGTTCAGATCGGCCATTTCACGTTTTTTGCCCAGGTCTCCAGTCCTCTGAAACTGGCGTCTACGCACATTTCTCAATCGAATCAATAATTGGGTGTGGGAATCAATAGCAACAACTTACCCCTCACAGGAACTCGTCGAACGCATATCTCGTCAGCCTCGGATATGGCCTGTTGGAGTCCTTCCAACGCCCGGTCGATGTCATCTACGGTGTCGAGCAGTGGATTTTCATCGATGTTGCTGTCCACCATTCGACCGTACTGCACCCAGTTGACATGGTGGTAGTCTTTACGCAGGCAGCTTCTAGCAGGAACCACGTTGACACCGACTTCAGTCACCACCGGTTGGTGGTCGGAGCTGAGATCGTTGTGCGCCTCCGGCTTGGATAGTCCGATGTTCGACAGGAAGAAGTCCAGCGTGGAGGGATTTCCCGTTGGCGAGATGAAAGTTGGTTCGTCCGGAAATTGCACAGTGTACAGTCCATGTTGTGCGAGGTCGAACAATACACATCCGTTCCGGTTCCGCTGGTAGTTCCGCCAAGCTTCATGGCGGGCGTTCAGGTCGCCCCCAACGATGAATCGGAAGCTAGTACGAGTGATGGCGGTCAGGTCGTTCTTGAATTGGATGTCTAGGCCATTGCTTGTGGTACACTATACTGCTATAAACTGCTATAAACCGGACGTTTCCAGTTGGTGTTTCCACGTCCACACTAATGGCTTCGATGATAGAAGTGCGGATGTGGGGCAGAGTGCAAAACTTGATTCCCTTTCTGACGATGACCGCTACACCACCCCCTGGAGCTGGTGCGATCAAGCCGGATAATGTTGTGGTCAGGCAACCAGAAGCTGTCACCGGACTTTAGGTGGGTTTCCGTTAGAAGACCCACGTCGATGATATGCTTGCGGAGGAAGTCGGCAAGCTCAATCTGTTTAGCTCTTATAGAGCAAGCGTTCCAGGTAGCGATGGTTAGCGGTTTAGACACCATATTGGATGATGAACTTACCGAGCACTTGGATCTGTTCGGGCTTATTGCGGCACTTACGTAGAGCACCGGTCATGTTGATAAAAATCTCCATAAGTTCATCTGCTGAGAACAGATCGGGATTATTTGTTTAAGCTGTTGGTTGCCTCCAGAATCTAGGGGGGGGGGGTGGAGTTTTGTCCAGCAGAAGATCCAGACGTATCTTGAGGGGGCGTGGCTTAATGTTACAGTTGCGGGTACCGTGTCCGAAGTTCAGACACCGCTGGCACTGAGTCACATCGCGATGGCCGCCACGGTATGGCTCCCAGCGAACGATGATGGAATTGATGGACCGGATGGCTTTCAGTGCATTGAGCGTCACCGTTCCCTTCTGGAAGTGTAGCAGGAAAAGGCTATCCGGGTACGCCTTCACATTCTCGTCTCTTCTTGTCATTTGGTACACGGCACTTGGGGCCAGCTTGTACCTGTCCCTGATTTCATGTTCGATAAACTTCGGGTCGAAATTTGGTAGGCCCCTGATGACGACCTTGAACGATTTTTCACCGGGGATGTCGTGGGTGAAGAATTCCACCTTGGAAGTCCTCAGGTGGGCGATGACCAAGTCATACTCCGCTTTGGTACGGAGCACCACCTTGGTGCCGACTCTACCCAATTTGAATTCGGCTTTGACGCCCAGCGACGCCAGATCCGCGATGAGCTCGTTGAGATGGGCATTTTTCACCACCAGCGGAGGTAGCTTCACTCTTGCCGCGCTCACGTCAGCAGCATGTTCTTTATCGGCAGCGTCACCGAAATCTCCGTTCGTCGCAGAGGCATCGTCTCGACCAATCGTGCCATCATACTGGCCTCGGTTCTTCTTCCTTTTCTTGCTGCGTTTTTCCAACACAGCCGGCTGGATATTCCCATCCATGGGGAGAACAGCAAACCTGTTCGAGATAGGCACACCGGAGCTTCCTTCATCGGAGTTCTGGACCTTTGCCGGGCTTCGCGACCGATGCTTCCCCATTACGGGGCACACACATACGCACGACAAACCGCGAAAGAGAGAGCGCGAACAATATCGCCACGAACTTTTCAAACAACTCGAGAGAGCGAGCTAACACCGAACTGAACTGCTTGACGATCAAGCAGAGGATCTAAGATGTAATGCCATACAGCAGCGTTCTTTTATATCTTTTCAGGTTAAAGCAGAATGATGTGCAACCAAGTGGTATAAAAGCTACAAAGACTCCTCCCATTATGAGTAGTTTGCTATCAAGTAGTGACACTGGCTCTTTTCCTTTTGCGTACACGGCGAATGAAAACGAACCAAATTTGAGTTTAGTTCACTCATAATCGCCAAAAGTGCAGGAACTCAGCGATGAGTAAATTTGTTTCATGGTTTCCTATGGAAAACCTAAAAAATCTGCCAGAAAATGAGGAAATTGACGAAAATTTTATTCAGTCTCGGAGTAGTACCAATAGACTGAGTGAATCCAATCTTTACTTTTATCAAATTCAGGAATTTTTCCCTGGAAAATCCTGGAAAAACCTGGGAAAACATGAGGCTAATTAACTCATCGCTGAGTTCCTGCACTTTATTTCTTATTTCTGAGATAACTAAACTCAAATTTGGGTCGATCTCATTTGCCGTGAAATCACCTTGAAAGATATCGGCGCCGGTGGTTAGCGTGATTACCTCTCACCCCAGCAGACCTGAGTCCAATCTCAGTCGGTGCCACCGGCATGTTCTAAGGCATAACATCTCTGATAACGCCTTCCTTCGGGAAGTAAAGCCGTTGGTCCCCGGTTGAGTTGATGGGTCGATTGGTAGGGTCCAGGTGTGGGAGCTGCCTCCCTGGTGTCGGTAGCATTGGTGCTCAGCACGGAAAACAAATCTCGCGTCATTTTTCAATATGTCCTATCTACATTGATCGATTCTCTTCATCGACACTCACTTTCGTAAATAACTCGGCTTCACAAATGTTTCCTGCCGTCTGTCGAATTAGATGCTAGATTGTTGCTTCTTCCATTGAAAATATCCGGCCGTGGCGATTCAAAGTTGATCAAAATAATTTGTACCCCTGCTTCCAGTTTGATTTTATGAGCATTTTGTGTGATCGTTGGTTCTGAATATGGACAAACAGGCAGATGAATTTTATTCCTACTATTTACTGTAATAAGCTTGGTGGCCCTGAAAAGAGCCGTTTTGTTGCCGAAGTTGGTGATGATTTAACCTCCGAAACCAAACAGATTGCGTCTCTGTCACTTCAAAACGTACATGACATCCATGGCCGCTTACGCTTGGCGTGTTTAGTGTAGGTGACAGCATCACGGATCTCATTTTTCCGGAACACCTTCAGCACACCTCGTAAATCAGCCCGGAGATACGTCAGACACCGCCACGGCAAGCCAGACGACGGATGGTGGTTATCTCGAAGAATTTGCGTTTGGTTCTGAATATGGCGATAAGTGTGCAAAATATTACGCAATTCCGTCCTCCCTATTCGCACGCGCCTGAGGATCGCAGGCGAATGCCACTTCGACTTGTTTCGTCGAAGCAGCATATGGTGGATTTGTTAGTTAATTCGACGCTTTTGGACAATGCTGGACATTTACCAGCTTTTCACAACGTAGGGACTTTGCCAGTGTTAGCAATATGAATTCGGAGTTGTGATCGGAAATAGCCCCTTAGGACCACGCAATGGTCCTCCAGAAGATCCGGAAAAAACTGAAAAAGTGGTCAACTCATGAAACTGATCCTAGAACTTCGCATTATTTTCGAAAACACTCATGAGGAATGAATTAGGGGTTTAGACTGGAATATGTAATTTTTAGTAAACCACTTAAGGTATAGTATAGTTTTACCTGTTGAACATGTTAACAATTTCACATCAGCATGAGCATGATTGACTTGTTGTATAACTGTTTATATAACCTTTGTATGACTTGTTTTGGTTGTAAAGCAGTTTACTCAACATAATTGAATGAATTAGAGTTACTTGGGTATGAATGTGTTGACGTGACTCTCGCTTTGATGGAAGCCGAGAACACCTCTGCACTTCCACGAGGAATCACTGTGATATTGGGTAAGAGGGTTGGGATTGCAGCAGGGTTAGTTTTGGTCAACAATAAGCTGAATTGATGTCCTAACGATCATTTAACGCAAAGGAGCTTGGAATTGAACCAGTGATATTCTAATCAGTAAGCAAGAACGTTTACCACTACGTAAACCAGCTACTTTGTAGTCACATTAACAAATAAAGCTATTAACGATTCTTGAATGTGCCGGGGCTTGAGATTTAACTCATGATGTTCTACTCAGTAAGCAAAAATGGTCACCAAGCCCCTCATATAACATCATACAAGCTACGACCGCGTTGTTATTGCAACCATTCAAACCCGGCCCCGAAGGTGCCGTTGATGACTATGTTAAGTTTCATAAAACACACGATAATCAAGCGATGTTACTGTAAATCTCCTTAATATGATAGGACCTGGGATTTATTCAAACTCAAACTTGACGGTGGTGCTCAGAAGAATAAGTCTCTACGACCGATGATCTTTTAAACCTGGAGATGAAAAAGCTCCGAAAAAGCGCTAATGCCATCATTAAATTCTACTTTTACGCGACGTACGTTGTTTCGATTAGGTCTTTACGTAAGACGGGAACAGAATCCATAAAACATTCATTTTTTTTGGCTACCGCGCCCATCACCATTTTATATGGGTTGGACAATGCTGGACATTTACCAGTTTTACAATAGTTTCTTGTTGAAAATCAACATTCAAAATTTATATATTTCATATCGATTGGTGATAAAATTATTGAAATTGGATCAGGGGCAGCTTAGTTATTAACGTTCAAAATCTTTCTTAATTTATTACATGTTCCATTTTCGGTTTTCACAAAGTGTACCCCCATATAGAAATCAAAGACGTAGTCCTACGTCAAAATCGTGGAGTTATAGGATCAGTTTCCTAAATTGACCACTTTTACTGATATTTCAGATCTTCCGTATTCCTCCAGACACATCATAATCTCAATTCTATATCACACATAATCTTTTGCACGAAACCAACAGAATCGTCCTCAATATTATTTTTTATTTACTCAGCGTGCGTGCAGCTAGCCACAGCAAAACACAATCTTTCCTGCATTATCGATAGAGTCGCCCCCTGTTTCCAACATCTTCTACAAAGACATCAGGATGTTGTCTCTTCAAATTGCCGTACAATCAGTGTTTGGTACCAGTTAACACAAATCCCATATGGTACGTATGTTCGTTAATGCAGGATCGACCATTTTATAGGAATCCAAAAACAAGGAATCCGCTCTATAGGAAACTTGACTGTAAATTGGTAGTCTTTTTGGTCACAGAGGCGCTCTCATTTGACTATGATGTTCATTTTTATAGTAGTTAACGGTTTGCTGCCTCGATATTTGTGTGATCGGATTGAAAGAGCAAGTGATTTTCATTGATATAACACTAGAAACGCGGATGAAGTAATAACACCACATCTTTTGAATAATGCTTCGAAAAATTCATTATTTTTCAATGGTATAAATTTTACAATTCGATGCCTGGACACATCAAGCGTGCAACTACACCGACAGAATTTAAAAGACACTGCATTTCACGTGTAAAAGCTGTTTATTGAGCAGTTAATTTTTTATGAATGGATAAATCATGTATCTGGACGAAGTCATCTCTAACGGATTATTTTGTATGGAGACTGTCATAAAGACATTTTAGTAATTTGTGCAGCATATACAAAAAACTACATTGTTTGCCTCGATGATGATGATGGATTTTTAGTTTTTTTTTTGATTTTGTAGTAGTAATAGTAAAAATAGCTTTGAGTAGTTTACAATGGATTGAGCCGCGCGCGCGGAATACAGGTATAAATGACTAATACGTGGAAATTGTGGCAAAAGCCTTGAATTAGTAAAGGGTTGGCTGGAAGTCGTTTACTTGGAGCTTAAAAGTGTAAATCCCAGGTCACGTGTAAATGGAAGTATTGTCGAGGATACTTGGACTCTTGATAACTAGTTACACCTTTGAATGTTTTTGGTTGATGCCTATAGCATATTTAACAGGACATTCTTGGTCACTACACAATACATCTTAAAACTATAGTCAAAAGGTACAACACAATAAACACTTTATCTTTCGCTATCCAAAAAGCCTTCTCCATCAGATCTGAAGCCGCTTCCAGTGGTTTCATTTTATGACAGTTACGCCATCGTGGGTCAGAGCGCTTCCATTGCAGCAATGCACAGTGGTCCAGAATGCAGATTTAGCTGGAATGATATGTTTTGAGCCTGAAATTGAAACTTTAGACTAAAAGTCTCTTCTACAAAGTTGTTCCTTATAGTTAGGCCCTCATTTTTATGACAATGAATTCTAGGGTGGTTCCTATTATCATTAAAATCAAAAATCTAACTTTTTTGTTTGAATAAATTAAGCTATATATTCTTCGGCAAAGTTATAGCTGAGCTAATTTCAAGCAACTTTGTTGAAAATAACTTTTTTGTATCTCTTAAATTGGCCGATTTAGAGCTATTTTCTTGAATTGAGTTAGGGTGGCTCTTAAAAAAACAGTTTTTTTGCTCTATTTTTCTTATTTCGAATTTCTCAGCAAATGTGTCTTCAGATAACTTTTAGATATTAAAAAGGCGCAAATTTTTGCTCCACGAAGCTTGTCAATATCTTTCGTCGATCAAGAGTTATTGACGTTTTTATACTAAAAATATGCACTTTTCAAATGTTAATATCTCTGGTTGGGGCAAACAAAAAAAAAGTTTATTGGCAGTATTTGAAAGAGCGTATGTTATTCTCAATAATATGAAAAAAATGGAGGTATGTTATTTTTTAAACTCGTATAAAATCAATTTGAATTAATTCATATTTTTTACTATATTTGAGTATATCTTTTTTATTAGAAGAGATACAGGCAACAAATTCAGCAATAAAACATTCGTCTTAAAGAGTTTTAAAAGTCTCTAGAAGATGACTTTCATGA